TGAACTTGTCCTGGAGAAAGGTGTCTACTAACTGAAAAAAGCTGGTCTCCTGCTTCCTTTGAAAGACAAAGTTTTCTTCAAACTGAACCTACTCAAGCTGTGTGTTACTGATTTGTAAGACAGTGCACCCTGAACCATAACAGTGTGGTGCGTGGAGACCTGCGCTGGGTAGCCCTGGTTGAGCAGAGTAAAGCTGTCGCCTCCTGTTCCGTGGAGCTGCTGTTGTGTTCCGGGGGCTGTAAGCAGGGGCTGTTGGCATGGCCTGCACACAGCTCTGGTTTGTTCCCCCTATCCTGGGAATAACCAAGTTTGTGCTCTTTGTGCATGTCCAGTTCTGAAAAGTGCAATGGAAGAGGGAGACTTCATTAGATGGAAAGAGAGGAGCTGCCAGGCAGGTTTTATCACAGAAATCAAATATACTCATTTATTTCTCTGTGTGCATGTAATGTTTGGTCATTTTTCATCCTCTGACCTCAGGTCCTTTACAGAAGAAACATTACACTAACAATGGATAAAAGGAAAGTAAGTCTCAGAGGAGGAAAGTGCCTCATTTAGAACTCTGAGCAGGTTGAAGCATGAGCTGCAAATGTGATTCTTATGTCCCAAAACTTGACTGTGTGTTACGCCCCATTGCATTGCAAGGTTGAAGTTTCTTGTAACAGCAAAATACAAAATACATTGAAAAAACGGGCTGCAAGAGTTTTTATTTGTTTAAACAAAAGGCTGTGATTCCAGAATTCTCTCCCCTTTCATATGCTATAAACCACCTCCTCTGCCTCCACTCTGAAATATGAATTTTGGAGTAATCCATCAAGAAAAAGAGAGACAAAGGCTTGATCCCTTGACTTCGGTTGAGCTGTGCAATTTATATCTACTGAGCATCTGGCTGTAGGGAAACCAAAAGCTCTTTTAATATTCTGCAGAGACTCTGGGTATACAAATGAGCGTGGGCTGTCAGAGCTGAGAAATGGGGCAGAGATGCCAAGAGGTTTCTTTGCCATTTTGCACAAAACTCTGACCTGCGGCCCCATGGTGAAAGTTGGCCTGTTTTTTTTTTTTTTTTCCTTCCTTCAGTGCCACTGTGATAATTGCACTGAAATCATTAGAGCCCCATTGGTATAAAGACGTTATCACGCCTTTCTTGTTTCGAGTGAGGAGTTTGAAGACTTGTGGGGCTTTCAGCCTTGAGCAGCTGAATTGTGCAACTATTTACTAATGAAACTATGCAAACGCTGCTCCAGCCCTGCAAAGCAGGAATGCCAGGTTAGCAGGGCACCCGAAGTCAGTCACTGACCTCTGTGAGTCGCTTGTCGCAGGAGCGTATGCGGAGTGGAAGGCACAGGCTCACAGCCCGGTGCCCGTTTGCAAAGCTGCAGTGCTGGAGGCACTGGCTCAGCCTCTCGTGGAAGATCAGCCAAACGAAGCAACCACTGGATCAGGGTTAGGTGGGTCACCGCTGGCACAGGGTGTGTGACTTGCTGTTTTCCAGCATGCCGAGCCTGCCACATCTCTGGTATGTGAGACTTTTCTTTCCCTCCAGTTGCATTGCTTTACGCACGCAGCTGGAGAGGGGGAATGGGAGAGTGGGAAGGGAGAGGTGTGCTAGGACAGTAACAGTGAGACATGGAGACAGACTGGGTGTCACGCGATATGCTGGTACAGTCTCATGTTCATTATCTCAATTATTTATCCTCCCTGCTGGAACACTTCTAAAACAAATCCTACCATGTGTTTTGAGGTTGGGCTTCATAGAGTGAAATCACAACTCCTTTCTCAGAGTTTAGCTGGAAAAATACAAATCTGCCAACTAGGAATATGAGGGAAATAAACTGTGGTTCTGTGTAGCAATAAGTGATGGATTTCTGCAGATATGGAAAGCGTCTGCTCTGGAGTTCCAGGTCAGAGAGTTGCGTATTTGCCCCAACGTTATATTCGTTGCATGTGAAATGATGATGTGAGGTTCTCAAGCTCATTTTAATAAAGCTGACTGCTTTCACCCTGATCAGAAAATGCAACTTCACAGTCCCAGGCCTTGGAACCACCAGCCATCAGGATTAGACACTAAATACGTCAGTGCATAGTAGTCAGGGAAGTTATTTATTAGTTTGATTTGTCACCACCACTCTCAGGCTTTCTGCAAGGACAGATAACAACCCCAGATGTCAAAGCAGCCTGGTCCCCGGTGCGTTGTGAGGGAGCTTTGAAAGCAGTTTCTGTAACTGCAGTAGTGAGCATTCATCTCTGTGCTTGAAAGAATTGTCTGTCTGTTGGATAGCTAAATAAATGTCACAAGGATTTGTTGGCAGGATGGCTTGCCTTAGTAAGAAGATCTTTTGCATTAGGACGTCCACTTTCTGGATTAGTTAAATGTCTTTTGGGTCCAGGCTAAGTACCTTGGGTGTGGATTTGAGTTTCCAGGCATTTCACAAAGAAAAGGATCAGAGTTCAAATCCAACTTGAGCTTAAGTAGCTCTCTTTCTGACCTCGGCTGTGTTTTCCATATGTTTCAGCAGACAGCACTGACATGAAGACGATATTAGTAGAAATCTCACCATACAGTGGCACTGCTGCTTCATCCCCCCTTCTGTCATTTTGTGCACTTAAATCTAACCTTGTGTGCTGCAAACTCACTCGAGACGGCTCTTTGAGACACTCTTCAAGAGCAGAGAGGGCTGATGGACCAGTGCTGTTTGTACACTCTGTCTGGCAGATGATCAGAGTATCCTCCCCGCTGGGAGCTGGTTGATTCACCCCTGTGCAGAGGGGTAGTACAAGCCCCTTTTTATGAGCTGAGCTCTCCAAAGAGAGCTTAAATGATCAATCCATCTCAAATTATGCACAGAGATGGTTTTCAGACAGTTCAAGTCAGTCTCTCTAAACCTATGGGAGTTATTAATATGTGCAAGCCAGCAGAAGGGAGAATAGGACTCCATATTTTATTTGCTCTGTAACACATCTGGTACGCCTTTTGGCTCTTGGGAGCACTGGATTTATTCAGTCTTATCTTTCTATGGGGATGAGCAGGATCAAAAGCATGAAGCTGGTTACATGCAGAATGTAATTCCCTGTTGTACACACCACAAACAGATCCAGACCAAACAAGCCTCACCCGTTTTCTTCCCTGTGGGACAATGTACTTATGGCACTTGTGTATTCATGGACCAATTCAAGCCAAAAAATATTGCCCAAGATCTATTGCAAAGAATAAAAATAAACAAATGTTATTTCCTGTTGGGTAAAAAAGAAGTCCATGTCAGTACTGACCTGTGAGGAAATCCCTCAAACTAAGTGTTCCTGAACCATCAGATGCTTTGTCAGCAAAACCTTGGGTATCATGAGGTGGAAGCTCTACGTTTAGCTCCTTTGGGAAGCTACGCAGCTCCTCGTAGAGGGTCAGTGAGAGAATTTCTTTGGAAGGTTTATGCAACGAGTGATTAGTTGCCGTTAGCACTCAAGCAGTCTTCTTAGACTGTAAATCACTAACGTGGGAACAGCCAAGCTTCCTGGCCCTCCAAGCCATGAGCTAGAATCTTTGCGTGGCTGAGAGCCATCAGTACATACCATGTTCTTCATAAAACTGCAAAGTGTTTGTGGGTGAAGACTGGAGAGATTCTTTGGGGCTTCTAGTGCAAAAGGGGACAAAGCTTGTTGGGGGGACAGCTGAGTCCTAGGTGTTGGGGTGTTGTTTAGTCAGGCCAAAACTCATGTTCACCCATTCCTCACCACAGGTAAGCACTGGATTTACTCAACATCCCCTGCATCAGCACAACCTCAGCCTGAGCTGCACCTGAATGGTCTATTAAGGGGCTCAGAAATTTTACAGGTCAACCTCCCCAGCCCTATGGAAATACCAGGATTAAATACTTCTCCTGTGGCCAGCCAATGAAAACTGGCTCTGGCACTTAAGGAGCTCAGAAACGCACAGAGAGATGTATTTCTCCTCTGTGGGACATAAGATGGCAGTGATTCATCACCTGCATATGGATGGTTTGTTCTCTGAAATACCTGATGCTGCAAGTCATTTTCCCTTTTTACAAACTGCTGCGCTTCAGAAGGCACGATAGCTGAGTGGTCCAGTCTGGAAAGCTTTTCCAAGAGCTGGGAATGGGCAGTTCAGCACTGCTGCAAAGCACTGGGAAAGTGCCTTGTTGATTAAATCTCTGTTCAGGGCTTTATCCTCCTTCGCTCCCTTTCAAATTGATGAAATGAAAGCAGAGGTAAAGCAGCAGACCTGTTTAGATAAGTGATGTCCTTTGTATTAAGCAAACATTTTAAACTGCACTCAGAGCCAAATGTCAAAGTTTGTTCTTGCTAATGCATCCTCTCAAGATCCCTTTGGTGGTTGCTGCCTGTCTGTTGCTTCTATGCAGCAAAGTGAGATGGAAACCACTTTGTGCTGCAGCTCCAGTCTGCATTAGCCCTGGAGTCTTTCTTGGATTTTCTTGCTGTCACTGAGGCAGATGATTTGTTGCGGGAGCAGTAGCAGGGCCTGGAAGCCCGGGGATGGAGCAGGACTCCACAGAGGTGGGCATTCTGTATATTCATTGTTTTCCTTGGTATTTCACCAGGACATAGCATAGGAGAGGGTACAGTCAGAGCTAAATGGAGTATTGGCTGTGCCGCCTGATGTCCCGTGAGGTGGGAGCATGTGCCGCACCAGCTTGTGCCAGGGGCAGAACAAGTATCTCTGCTGGTGACAACAGAACATGCTGGTTGGCACCATGAGAAGTCTTAAAACTAATTTTTTTTTCATCTACCTTCTACCTATTGGGAACTTGGGTTTGTACTCTGCCCCACTAAACATCCCCAAACATGTGATGTGGCTGTAGATGTTCACCTGTGCAATGGATCTGAATACTTATCTTCCCCCCATAACTGAGCTTGAATCACATTTCTGTGGGCCTTGTATCAAAAAGGGATCAGGGTCTGCTGACTGAAAGCCATGGATTAAAAGGCAAAGTATGTAGAAATTTTACATATTTTTGTTTTGTTCTTTCTAGAATGCATGAACTGCACAAGACTAGCAGATATGACCGAGAGGCTAAACACGCTTGAGGCCAAGGTAAGGACCTGCCTTTATTCTTCTGTTTGGCAAAAATTTCCAAGAGTTGCCAGTGAAAAAGATGTCGAATTGGCAGCCCTGGAGAGATCAGGTGTTTGTCCTTCCATCCACAGCCAGGAACACGCCGTGGCAGTGGTTCTGCCCCAGGAAACGAGGCCAGCGCTGCTGCGCACACGGGCATCACTCACCTCCAGCCTGGCTCCAGCCACTTCCCACCCAGCTGCATCTCTGCCTCCCTTCTCCCCTTTGGCTGCTCAGCTCAGCTCCTCCTAAATAACACCCAAATCTAAGAAACAACAGGCCTTGTGTGGCCATCACACTTACTGCTGTGCGTGCCTGTTACAAGCCTGCCCTCACCCTGCCGCCGTGCGGGGGTGCCTTCAGGCCACGCTCCCCACTCTCACAAGTGTGCAGCTGTTAATAAATAACAAATAGCTCATTGCTCTCAGCTGGAACACATTGGCTCAGGTTTTGCTTCAGAAAGAGAGAGCAGACGGAGCTGTATGAAAAATCTCTTGCCTTCAGGGGGTTGATAATGTAGGGATGTGAAGCAGTGATTCCCCTGGCCCAGGGAAGAAGCAGATTCTGGTCTCTCTTGCTAAAAATGCCTTGTGGAAACCTTACCAATGGAGAGTGCAAAACAGAGGAGTAACGGTATGTAGACTTTTCTAAGAACAGTTGTTCATTAGTCAGCTCTTCAAGTGCTATCCAGTCCTCCTTTTTTATCCCTTTTCTGAAAGATGGGAGGCTTTCATGCATAGTTTAGTGGAGACAAATGTTAGGGGGAGACCTTCACATTGTGGGGGGTTTTCTGCAAATTGTTTTAATTTCTACCTACTGGGATTCAGATAAATTGTTCCAGTCTAGCACCAGAGCAGCTGAGTCAGTCGTTCCCCTTTGATCTGTGGTTCCTCTTGTGACAGCCCAGTGCTGGCTGTTAGATATAGTGCTTTGGTCCCTTTAAGGCATATGCTGCTGTTATTATTCATTAACTGACGGTTATCAATGACATAAAAGAATTTAGGGAGAAACCTTTGTGGAGAGGGGTGGTGGATGTGTGGTGTTTTTGAGGCCAGTGCATGATATTATGGTAATTTGGGAATTGTCTGTGCTGAAATGGAGTGAGCAATGTTGTCTGGAACATGCTCAAAGCCTTCACAGTTATATTCCGCTACAGGAAAATGAAGCGGTGGGGGGAATGAAATTCTGGGGAGCAGAATTGTTCAAGTGAAAACAACTGTTGTAGTGCAAAGGACAAAGATGAGCTGGATTGCTTTTCCGAGCAGCGGGACCTGGCAGGTGGGTGTTCTTTGGCAGCGAGGAGCTGGAGGCGTTAGGAGAGGAGTGAGGGGCTGGTGACTGACCTCTGTGTGTGCAGTCCTGAATCCAAGTAAACATGGGACCAGCCTCAGAGAGACATAAATCAGCCCTCCCATGCTCAGCCTGTAGCCAGCTGTACCTTCCTTCACTTTCCAGGATTTTCTATATCTGACTTACTGGAAGGTGATAACCAAAGACTGTCCTGACATCAGAGCACCCATGCTCTGCTGGCTTGTGCTGCTCAGCACTTATGTCCGGTAACAAAGCGTAAGAGGCTAATGGCAACCTCAGCCGGGGCCCTGGCAGGATTTCATGGAGGAGGAAGGAAATCCTACATACCTAAATCCCCTTGAGAAGTCTTAGCCCAAGAGTGAAGCTGCACCCAGGTCAGTGGGTTTGTCTTACAGATATGAAGCTGGTTTAAATTGGGTGATGTTCCCATCACCTGAAAGCAATCTGCTCTCTGGTGTTGTTACCAACTGCCGGGTGCCCCCAGTATTTGGGAAGTGCTGCCTGCTTGCCTTCTGCATGGGAGCTCTAGTGAGGGCCAGGAGCACGTTGTCTCCTACTGTAACCTGGGACGCTTGTGCAGCAACTGGCATTTGTTTGCTGACTGACAAACCCGAAGTGCTGTCCTTAGGAAATGCTTCCTATGCTGGCAGCCATATGGCTGCAACCTGCTCCGTGTTCAGGAGGGAGCACTGACTCATCATCAACAAACACCGTGTTGATGGCTGAAGACTTCGCAGTCCTGCAGACCTTCCAACATGAGGAACAGCGAGGTGGATGCCTGCAAAGTTCAGTGCCGAGATGTAGCCAGCCAGACCCAGGAGATGACACTTGAACAGTTTTGGCATTGCCTCAGTCCCAGCCATAGCCAAGACCACACCACCTCCTCTCTGCTTTCTTGAGAGTAGGGCTTTGGGTAACTTGATTCCTGTCAGCTCTCGATCTTGGGCGTAGTGCATCATGTCTCTGTTTTAGTGCTGCAGTGGGGCAATTTGTGTTGTTGCTGTGATGGGTTTCCTTCTGACTTTACTATGCCCCCCCAGAGACCCAAGTTGGGAGCAAAGCTCATCAAAGGGTTTACATTTATGGAGCAAAATTAGTTATTTCTTTCTATTCTGAAGTACTACAGATGGCATCTCTGCAAGGGTGCTTTCTGCAGCACGGCCCAGTACTTTTGCTCTTTTGGCTTCTGCTTTGTCTGAAAAGCTGTGGGTGCTGTGCAAAAATTGACTGTAGCAATTAAATGGAGAGTGATGCAACATTACATGAAAGATGGTGCTGTTCACAAGAGAAATATTCTGATTCACCCTTTTTTCAAGGTTAATTTAAGTTCAGTTTGATCTATGTAGCGAGGTAATGACCTCAGTTGTTGTTATTCAATAATAGCTAGCACCATTAAAAAGGTGCTTGAATTTATTTAGTATAGTCTATATTCCTGCTGGATTTTGCCTGGAGTTTGGAGAAAGATCTCTATTTTTCTGGATGATTTGGATGTGAAGTTGTCTCCAAACTGTCTTCTTGTAATGTCTCATTTCACCACAACAGCCTGAAGCTGTTCAGAAGAGGACAGGAGCGATGAGATGGGCATCCCTTGTCAGTGTTGGAGGCTGATCCACCCCTCACCTTGATTTTTGCTGTCTTGTTCTGCAAAGGCAGATGTGAAAATTCATTCCTCCTATAAGCAGAGACAGGTTTTCCTGCCACAGTCCTGCTCCTTCTGGAGACAGCTGAAGTTGAGGAGCTTTGCTACTTTTACTCTTTTGAATTTCAGCCCAGCATATGACCATGGTGAGCTCAGGGAATGGCAACGGGTAAGATCAGCCACTTCAGTGTAGCCAGTCAGCTTCAAGAAGGTAAAGTCACTGGCACCTGCTGGTAAGGGCTTTGAGGCACGTGGAGCCTGTGTAGACTTGTTATAAATACGGCAAGGCCCAAGGGTGAGAGCAAATGTGTAGAAAGCTACTTCTGAAGGTACTGTGGACCTGGGCAGATTGGTCCTGGGTGAGAAGATTTGCTTTAATAGAGTAGGTTAGGGGCAAAGTGAAAAACAATCTCTTCCTCACACCTCTGCAATGGGGACAAGGAGCCAAGGGCCCTTGGTTATGTGTGAGGATATGTAAAATGCATTTGTCTTCCAGTGTCTGTGAAGGACAAGTTAAAGAAACTTAAACTCAGTCATGGAAGAAAAGGCTACAAGGCTCCGGTTTCTTCTTCCTCCACTGCTGCAGGCTTTTATAGCTGTCCCCCTAAAAAATGGTCTCATCTTTCTTATTGCAAGAATTAGTTGGTTCATCCAACTTGTAAGATCAGTGTCCAAATGAGGTAATAAAAGTGACCCTCTGATTTTTGTAATATGAGAGTTGAATCAGAAAGTGAGAAGCAAGAATAAACACAGAGCAAATGGAATGAAAAATGACTCATTAGGGACCAGTGCTTAGATAGCCCCTGGGGAGGAGAGAGACTCTGAGACATGGCTGAACTGTGCAGCAGAACAAGCTCTTCACATGTCTGACACTTTCCTTAACGCTGCTCTAGGTTGTCCTTGTGGCTGTAGGAGATGTTTCTGCAGGAAAGGAGGTGAAGGGAGATGGATTCAAGTTCCATCCTTGTCTCTCCTGTTTTGAGTTACCATGTCATCTCCTTAGGATGGAGTTGGCCCATTCCATTTGCTTGATACCAGACCCATTTGGGTGCCAGAGATTTGAAAGCTTGATTGATGGTGTTGAGCTTGAAATCTACAGGTCACAGGAATCTACATCAGGGAGGATGGTGTTGAGCCTGCAGTCAAGGACAAGAAAGTGAGCAGGCCAGAAGAAAACTATCCCCTCCCCAAGCCCCAACACCCCAAACCTTACTTCTCTCCTATGACATCTTACTTGACATCACTACGGCACCCCCTGACTCTGTGGGGAGCCTCACTGGAGGGAGGGGAGAATGAACCCCGCTTTTATTTCACATGCAAGGTTTCTGCTTAGGCGAGCACAGCTTCTTAGTGGGAAGAGTGTATAGCCCTTCCTTTCTGAATTTCCTGAGCCTGGTGCTGCCCCCCTGTGTCACAGGACTCAGCCCGGACAAACTCCAACAAATCTCAAGAGAGCTGCAGTGTCAGGAGAGAGCGGCACCGCTGCCCACGGCAGGCAGTGCTAGTAGGAAAGCAGGCAGCTACATTAACATTTCTGCTCATTTAGTTTGCCTAGTTTCTTTTAACAAACTCCACCAAAGAGCTACGGGCAGTGCAATATTAATCCCAGCTTTTGGTTGGAGCTTGAGTGCAGCATTTGATCTGAGTTGATATAACACAGTCTTATCTCCTGACATCGCTTTTGAGAAGTCCGTGGCATTTCACTTACAGCTTTAATGCAGGGAGATAACATTACATATCTAGTGTCTGATTGATTAATTGTGTGATTGATAAATGACATGCATATTTTTTGCATGAAAACAGTCCTTGTAATGTGATTCCCCACGCAAAAGATTCTGAAAGGTTTTAAAGAAAAGCTTTGTACTGTGCACAGAGTTTGATCAATACATTGCTATTTATATGAAATCACCCCATTTATTTAGAACAGATTATCCCACAGCACCTTCACTACCCTGTGTCTTTTGACTATGAAGCTCCATTACTTGGAGTTTTAATGTAATCATTGTATTAAATGTTTCTAGATCTCCCC